AAGCAGTGCGACTTACCAAAGTTGTACTAAAACATTTTTTAACAGATTTCTGCAGCCAAAATCGGTTCGAGGTCAGTAAGCACAACCAGAATTCATACATAAGGCACACTCTCGATTTTTGAGAAAATTAAAGGATTTTAAGTTTGCCTTATAATGTGGAAAATACATTATACAGAAGAAAATAATATATCTTGATATATATCGTTACCGCACATGCTTCTAATTATATCGCAATATGAATTTTAGGCCATATCACCCAGCCCTAGTACCCTTTCAAATAAAACTGTAAAAAGGCCCAAAAAATAAATACATTTTTGTTCTGGGTCATGTAAAAACATTAAGGGTTCAAATTAGAATTATTATAGGCATGGTAAGGCATGAGCACACATAGCCTGCTGTAACCAGTAGGTGCACATATTGTTTGTACTGGCTAATACAACTAAAGACAACTGCTCCTGACTATAGGCATCAAAACACGATTTCACAATCCAGTGGGCGACTCTTTCTAATATAGTCTATACCCAAATCTTCAGTACCTGGTAGGTGACGATGGAGCCGCTGGGCTTCCGCATAATGATCTTGCTGATTGGCCAGATGCGGTAAGGACCAATGTAGAAACGTTGGGAAAGCTGATCACGATTCATCCGCTGACATAAAGCCTCCAGGATCATCCTCTGGTCGTTCTGCCACCGACACACTGACTGGATCTGTATTTGCTTCCTTGCTCCTACTTCACTACATGCAGAGTCCTGAGATGCGTTTTCACCTGGAGGTTACAGGGAAATATGTTTTTAAACAACTACAAACACCTTGAATATCCCACTTCACTACAGTGCAGCTATTTTTCTTACCTGCTTTGTTAACAGTTGGTAAAGTGCTGTAGTACTTGTCAGTGGTTTTTTGTGGTTTTGTTGGGGTGTTTGGTCCAAAGATCTTAGCCTCTATGGTGACTTGAGGAGGCGGCTTGCTATTGAACTCTCTTACACGAGCACATGTCATCATGCTCTCCAAATATTTATACACTGGATCCTTATCTTCTTCACGTATCTGCAATGAAGATTTTAGTCTCTTTTTAATGAGATTACAGGACAAATTGTAAACAAATACAAAGAAAAACTTCTTTGTTTTGTTTTTTGCAATTGACAAACTTAGCAATTATTAATATGGCAAAATAATAATTTTCAGCATCAGCATTTAATTTAAAAAAAAAAAAAAGCTGTTGAAAAGCAATTTTATTTTACCGGTTGTGGAAATACACTGATTCGTTTTTGGACCTTTGGTGTAACCACAAAGAGGGGCGCAATTTTTGGAATAAAAACTGCTTCTGGATCCTCATCACTGCCGTTACGCTTCCACAGTTTATTAGTATGTGAGCCTTGGCGAGGCTGGACCACGTGTTCCATATTAGTCATCGCTGGGGAGGGCAAAAAGTATCTCATTAACACTTGTGACCAAACTGAGCAAAGAAAGACTGAAAGACTGCGGTCAGAATCAGGGAAAAAAAATCTTTAACAACACACAAATGATACTGAAATAACTTGAACTCGATCTTACAGTAAACAGGATGTTCTTGGCTCTCCCCTGTGGACGTCTGCTTAGTGATCTTGCGTTTGAAGCAGGCACAGCCAAACATGCATTCAGGCCGCCTGCAGTGGAGATGGCCTCTGTTCAGGTGCTGCAGACTGGAACACACACAGCCGAGTCTGCAGAACTCTTGACCACATTCAGGTCCAGCAACTTTATTTGGAGAAGGGGGTACTTTCAAGATCTGGCTGGGCTGCGTCTGATTAAAATGAGAAGTGAGAGTCATCAAAATGTTAAAAAATCACTTTGTGTGCTTTTCTTTAATGTACCTCCTTTACATTTGATATTATAAAAGCCAGGGTGACTTTGAAAAACATCACTACAGAATGAAACAATGAAGTCATCACTGACATTCCTACACTTCCTGCAGAGGAAAAACATGCTACATACCTGTTTTGTCAGTAACACAGTCAGAGCAGCTGACAGCCTCTCTGTAGTCAGCTGTGTTCTGCTGAGGCCCTGGTTCAAAGCTGCCGTCTCCATTTCCAGCAGCTTGTGCTGGAA